GGCATGTGGAGCCAGCCAGGAAAATGGAACATTTTACATGCGTACTCACCATATTTATTACCTACAAGGATCTACTGTCAGAGTTAGACATTCAGCTTCGGTAAAGCGCACAGCTCTAATCTTATGGCATCTCTCATTAACAAAATAACTACTGTTCGAAAAAGAACTTAAAAATTATTCCTTCTACTTGGAGCAATTTAATTATCTGTGAAAAACGTTAAACTGTTTTTCCACTAAAGAGAGAGAGAGGGTGAAACTACCCATTCATTGCTTTTAGCTTTTCTGCTTTTACCATTTGGTAACTCTTTAAATTCTAAAGGTGTTAAAATGAAAACATTATTTCCTCGTAATATCTTCACAAATAACTGTTAGGTCTTAGACAAAATGTGTACGTATTTGAAAAACAATAAAAGTTAACTCATGGTCACTTCACTAGTCGCTGAGCACTAGGCCAACCACACTGTACAGAAACCCACTAGGAAGGTCCCCGGGTGAGAGGCATCGAGCACTTAGCACTCATCCTTGGAGAACTTCCAAAACACGGAGCGCTTTCGTTTCCCCTTCTCCCTGGGGGTGTGATGATAGTGGCGGCTCTGAGATCCAGTGTTGTCCGGGGACTTGGCAGTTGGAGAATTCCTCTGCAGAGATCTCACAGACCACTTTGACAGCTGGAGAACGTGCCCCTCACTCTACAGTTTTTACAAGTTGTATGATTCTGAATTCTGTATGAACTTCTCTAAATCATGGAATAATGTCCTTATTTTTACCATTTAGTATGATTTTATATGTAAAAGTATTTGAATCATAGTTGTATCAAGACAACCAAAATGTTTTTAGGAATTATTCATGGTAAAATATTGTTTCTTTCCCATTCTCCTGTTGTATTTTTTCATGGTACTTAAAACACTCTGAAAATACCTTCTTTATTAGTTTAAATATATAAGTCTCCTCAACTAGAATATGGTATTTTTTTTTTTTAAAGATTTTATTTTTCCTTTTTCTCCCCAAAGCCCCCCCAGTACATAGTTGTATATTCTTCGTTGTGGGTCCTTCTGGTTGTGGCATGTGGGACGCTGCCTCAGCGTGGTTTGATGAGCAGTGCCATGTCCGCGCCCAGGATTCGAACCAACGAAACACTGGGCCGCCTGCAGCGGAGCGCGCGAACTTAACCACTCGGCCACGGGGCCAGCCCCTAGAATATGGTATTTTTAAAGGTGTGTTCTCCACTGTATGTCCAGCTCCGAAAGCAGTGTATGATAGCCATTTAATAAACTTTTGTTAAATGAATCCATTTTCAGGAAAATATAGTGTTTGTGCAAATTGAAAATCATGCATTTATAAAAGTGTGATGTGTTGGAAAGGAACAAAAATTCCCAAGGACAGAACTAAGTTTAATATGAAACATTTAACTTCTTAAAAGATTGCATCTTTTACTATCAGAGTGATCTAGAAAGAGGATATTATTCTATGGCAGAAACACAAATCTCTTAGCATCCTGTATATGTTTCTTTTTATTCTTCTAAAAATAAAACCAAAGTGGAATTTCTCCAAAAAAAACTACTGGAAAATGCAGTTTAGTTTTCTGTTCAAAATAGATCACAAAGTCTCTTCCTTACCCTAGCCATCCTGTTTGTCAATGGAGATAAAACTCTTGTTTGACGAACCCCAGAGTTTTTCAAAGGGGGCCTGACAACATGGAATTTGAGTGAAAGATATCAAGCTTTCTGAATTCATTTAAACAAACAAAAAAAAAAGGGAAAAAAAGGAAATGCTAACCTGTGCTCTCCTCTGATTGGCTGCTTTAGATCTTTGGGCTGACTCCACTTATGTTTTCTATAGGAAAGACTAACCACCACTAGAAAGCCTCTGGAAAGGGATCCTGGGATCCCACTTAATTTCTGCAGCAATCACATCCTGCTAATTGTCAACCAGCCTCAAAATACTTAAAAGCCTACAACATTTTGATGAAAAAGGAATACTAGTACTAATAATAGCTTTATTGGGTCTGAGCCTTAGATATAATGGGCCCTATTATTTTCTTAAGCCTGTGTTGTGTTATTTTAGCCTTTATCCCAGTTCTGAATGACTGGCTAACTTTCTGGTGGGGTAATTGTATCCCACAGGGGCACAGTTGATTTTGTTTGCAAGGCACAGCCAGTGTGTGGTTTTAGCAGAAGAATTGGGGGTTCGTGGAGGAAGCACCTTTCCAGACATATGACTCTTGGTTGAATCAACAGTCTTTGCAACACGCCACTTGTCTTCCTTTCAGCAACAATGACGGTGTTCAGGTGGCCCCTCTCAGGGTGTTCTGGGTAGGAGAAGCAGTGTCAGTATGACAAGTCTCAGCTTTTACATATTCCATTTACAAAAATGCAGGTCTCACGGTAGCGTGTAATCTGGGTATAATGTTCCATGTGGTTTATTTTTATTGAGACTTCTGATTTGAAATCTGAAACAGTACAAAGTTGTATGGTTGAGTTAATGTTGCCAACAATATGCAGTTGTTTGTATTTCTTGATCTTTGAGAAGAGAAATTTGTCTTTGTGATAGTTGTGTCTGTTTTGTTTCTATTTAAGTTTGCAAGGATTTGAAAAAAGAAGAACAATAATATAAAGGCATGTGGTCAAAGTATTTAAAAACAAAAGGCAAACCTTTTATAAACTAACTTCGGAGAGATATTCCTCTTCAATGACCTAGCTATCACTTTTAATGTGTCACTTCGTGAACATTTGAAGTTCTAATAAGACCCTGTTGTCACATTCTTTTCCATAAATCCAATATTAAAAAAAGGAAGGGATGAAAAATAGTTATTCTTTTTGTACTACAGTAATTGGATAATACCACAGTTAAAAAACTGACACTTAGCCAAACTTCCAGAAAGCCCTAAATCACAAGGCTTTAGTAGCTGAGGTCCTCTTTGCAGTAAATTGAGGACAGGTGCAAATGATGACCGTCACCTGCTATGTGTAATCTCTAAGTATTCCTGGAACTTTCTTTTTTTTCTGTGTGCAAGCCCCGCAGTTACAATGGGGAAAGAGGACAGGACAGCCTCAGTTTTTACTTATGGCTTTTCTGAAGTTGCACAAGGAGAAATAGGCTTATTCTAAGAAGGGCATAAATGCTTCAGAAAGGGGAAAACCAAGACTCACTTCCCCAGGAAACTTTTACTTAAGCACCAAGTAGGCCTTCTGTGTAGTTTTACTAAGGAGCTGCCCTCCACGCTGCAGAACATCTAGAGACATTTGTCCTTTCTTCCCAAACGTCACACCCTACAGCAGGGCCACACACCATACCCTTCATCCCTGTTCAGTGAGCCGTTAGCAGGGAACAATGTGGGCGAGACTCCTGCCTGAGTTTGAATCCGGGCTTCAGACCTACAAACTCAAGGGTAACAAGTTATTACACCTCTCAAAGCCTCAGACGCCTCATTTGTAAAAGGAGGATGATAATTGCTCTGTTCCGTGTGACGGTGGAGGGTGGAGATGACATGAGAGAATCCCTTAGCATAGTTCCTGGCCCATGGTAAGAGCTCTGTAAATCTAAGCTGCTCTTAGTATGATGTTTATTATTTTTATTACACTGCTAAAAAAAGGAATTAAAAGGCCAATATTCCTGGGAGGATAACACATTAATGTCGCTGTAAAGGGAGGATCCTGGATGATAAGTGTGAGAAAATCAGAAAAGGGGAAAAAAGTCCAAAGTAGGGGTGGGGCAGAGGAGACAGACCTTTGTGTGCCTTTTTGTGCCCCGTTATTCTGCTTAATGGTGACTTCTTTTCCCCACCTCCAATTACATAGAGTTTATGCTATCTTTCTTACTTTTTAACGTTTACAATTATGTCCATTCTTATGTTTGACTTCTTCTTCACCAGCCAGTCTGGGACAACATATGAAACTTATTAGGCCTCCAGAAATGCTTGTTGGGTGATTGATTTTTACATTTTAAGTTCAAAAAACTGATTTCTACTTCTTTTTACTAGAAAAGTTAGTATTGCCTACTATCTTTTATAAGTGATTACCAAATGCTTTTTAGAGCATTGGTTAAGGTAGATGGCTAAGTTTAAGATGAAATTTCCCCATCTTTAAGAATAGTACGGCTACCCAATCGCTTAACCACATAGAACAAAGCCTTCTCTAATTCTTGAGCAGTCTTTTTAGCCTTTTAATTGGGTGGTGCTCAGTTTACTCCCATACTCATCCCCACTTGATGGCTGGTGAAATCGTTTTATGATACTTATAAGGATACAATTCAAACTTCAGGCCTCTTGAAAATTATCAATAGTTGAAAAGTTTGTAATTCTATGTTTTTTGCCTTAAGTTCCATCCAGCAAAATTATCTGGAATCTAGATATCATGGAGTATTGAGTCATTTGATCATGCATCCCCTACCTTACAGACTCTCCCAGCCCACAGCGTTCATCCTGGCCTTTGGTGAGGTGCCGCATTGTGTTTCTTTACCCCAGGGCTAGGTTTGATTTGCGGTTGCATATTTTTACACAGTTGCCTACACTGTGCAGATGTAAATTACTTTTTGGTATACTCAGTAATTTTCAAAAAATGACACATATTTGTGGTTACATAATCTTAGTGAATACACCAAAAATACCTGTTTGTTCTTGTTTTGATATTGAAAATCTGAGAGATGGCATGATAAGCCCAGCTTCATTAATTCCTTTTACAAGTACTATAATATAGTAGTTAATTTGTCCATACATAGCCTCCAATTATCTCCTCACTTCCTGGCAACAGCCACAACCCATCTTTCATTTTTATTACCCACCAGTTAATTGCACTAATAGGTTCTGCTTTTCATTTCTACATGATTTTTGTTAGAAAAAATGGCAAGTGTTAACTCTTGCTGCTGCTTTTTAGTTAGTAGGCATTTCGGGCTTTGTAATCAGAGACGAGCAAAAAAAAAAAAACGGATTTCTAAAAATTTCATGTAAATATACTTGCTAGCCTCAAAATTCCAGATGACTACTTCTAACTTTTACTTTTTAGAAAAGAAGAGGCTTATTTGGGACCAATAAATTCTGCCAGGTAAGGAATATTGGTAGCTAGAGCTATGTGGTAGTTTTTTCCTTAAAAAAAGCTTTTAAGCATTCTTCACCAATAAATCAGTCTTAATCCACAGATGGCTTTCTGTGCAATGTGAACTAACATGAGCTAATTTAATAAGAATGTTTAACAAAGGCATTCGTTCATTTAAAAGTGATATATTTTAATAAAGATGTTTGAAAGCATTTGTTCCTTTTTAACAATCAAATGTCTATAAAACTCCAATAGAATCTTTAAAAATAAAGTTTGTTAGATAATTGCAATAATTCCAATAATGTTCCTGAGTATTCTACATGTGAAATCATTATGATATAGGTATATAGTTTTGACTATACTAAATTGAATCGCTTGCATTTATCATGTTTTAGGATTTATGAGAATGTTTCTATTTTTCCTGAATGTTTTATTCATCTTGAAAATTGGTGATTGAATAAAATAATTACCATTGATTTAGTTTTACATATGTCATGATTACAGAGAACTGACATTGCATTAGTGAAAGAAAAAATGTAAGTTAAGTTAACAACAAAGCTATTATTTTCTGCTAACTTTTAGAGTATTATAAGAATGCTAAGAAAAAAATTTAGGATTTTACACTTCATACCTTAAAAAAAAGATATCTGAAAACCTTTTCTATGTCATTGCCAAGTCTGGATCCCACCAAAATGACTCAGGTATTTGCAGTTATTACATCAGATGGCAAATAAAATATCAGCTAGACCACGTCTGTTTCAAGATTTCAGATGAATTGGCAAGTGGAACATTCTTTTTTATACCATTTAAAGTCTTCTTTCAACTAAATCATGTTCCCCAAAATGACATTTGAATAGGAAATATAATTACAGAATTCTACAATAAACAACAAAGGAAAATAAAAGAGAGTTAGGAAAAAACCAAGTGGATCTTTCCCCAAAATACCTGTAAGAAAGTAGAGAATCAAGTGGGACATAGAGGAAATCTGTTCCAAGTGAGAAACACGGAGGATAAAATTTTCTTGTGATAGTGGTAAGTCATTCAAAGGACAGAAAGGCAGCAAGAATTAATGACAGGCAACAAGAATGGGGTAAAAAGGCTGTGTTTATTTAGTTGATTTTCTGAGGATGAATAGGATATGTATACAAAGTAGGGAAGCCAATTCTGGCAAGAGTTTCTTGAAGGATCCTCCTTAGTTTGCTTTTCAGGGAGCAGATGCGTGGGAACTCAGCTGCCTTGGTATCTGGAGTGCTCAGCTGCAAATCACCTTTCAGAACAGAGAGCTCTCAGCCTTGGCAATATAAACAGATATTTTCAGGCTGATGTGGTGCAAATTTGAGATTTGAGTAGAATAAATTTGTGTCAAGAGTTATTTGAAAAATTATGTAGGTAGATAACAATTTCAAAAATTCAAAGGGAATGTTTATATTCAAGGGTTGTGTTGAAGCTGTCAACAGATACCTTGGTTTATGAAAAACTTGGAACTAAATTTTTGTAGATGTATCTTTTGTCTATGTTTCTATGTTGTGGTATGGGAACAACTAGGATATGTGCATTTATTCTAGATGGTGAAAGTTTCCATTTTTAATGTTAATTTTCAATATATTTTTTGAAATGAGTAATAAGAAAGAGTGTACATTAAAACTATGATGTGAATATTATTGCTATGTTTTTTAAAAAGTTGATTTATTAAGAAAATAATAACACAATAGTATATGGTTATGGCAAAAATAACGAAAGTGGCATGCAGTAAACTGGTATTTGGGAAATATTAATATAATTTTATCCCATGTAGCTCACACATCACCAGGTATATTTTCCAGAGCCTGAGAACAGAACATCTCAATAAAATGCTTCTATTTTATAACTTTGAAAAGCAGTGTATTTATTTCATTCTGAAAATATAGTTAGGCTGTTTTATTTTTAAGCCTGTCCATACTGATTTGCCATCTCTAGTAACAATCAAAAACTATGCTTTCTTGTTTTGAAAACGGATAAACGAGACTTAAGTGTATGTACTTATGAGTAAACTAAGAAAGTGAACTAGGGTTTTATTTTCTGACCTTTTGAGATTTTCTTTGCCCATGGAGGGTTGTGGTTTTTTAATTCTCATTAAAGAAAATTTACTACAATCAACTATGACCTTGAACAAAATAAATCCCCAGATTTTCCAAGAATGCTATTTTACATTTAGTAGTTAAACACAATACTCTTACCAATTTCTTTTTGACTTTTTAAATTATCATACATAAAATTGACTTTTGGGGAGTGTGTATAGGTCTATGAATTTTAACACGTGTATAAATTTGTGTAACCACCACTACAGTCAGAATATAGGATAGTTCTAGCACTCCAGAAAACTCCCCTCTTCGCATTTTTTAAGCATCCGATACCCCTTATAGTGGGAATACATTGTTCTATAATCTCTCTTAAACTTATTGCAAAAAATAGGCTACTTTGATATTCAATAATTCTGTAATCCACTCTCCTTTCTGAGGTATTTAAGTTCTTGTAATTCCTAACTTTGCACTGTGTTGATTTCTACACATGATCAGAGATAGTATTCATTTCTCCTGTCTCCCAAATATCATCAACTAATCCAGTCTTAAACTCTAACCTCAGGAGATTTCCTAGACGATGGTGTCGTGTCAGTGGATCTGTCCTTGTTCGTGTTACATGTGTTTATAAGTAACCCTTTGTTCATCATCCGCATTGTTTTTTGACCTGCCAGTTATCTGATGTTAATGCTGGAGATTATTATCTGGAGTACACAAGAGAATCACTGCTGTCTCACTTTTTATAGGCTCTGCAGATAGAGTTCTTTCTTTTCCCAAGTGTTTTAATGGCTTTGTGCCGTGTTTTTTCTATGGTTAAAGACTTTTATCACTGTACATTTCTCTGAATATGTATGGTACATGCAAACCACAGGGAGGAAAATCACAGATTATAAGTCAAAATTTCACTTGATCAATATTTAAATAAGAGTTGCATATTAACTAATCTGATGCATTTGAGTGTATCATTGTGACGTGCATTTCCAGTAGAATGAATTTCAATCTATAGCACATGAAAAGTAATAAATTATTTAAAAATTAGTTCAATATTTTCTGTTCTGTGATATAAGCCTGTCATTTATGACTTTGCCATAAATCAAAAATTTAAAAACTTAAATATATCTGTAATAATTGTCATTGAGGTCCTTTGAGACCATCTTAAGTATCGTCACATGATACAGGGAAAACATTAACAAGTTAATTTCAACCCTGACTTTTCGGTCTTAAGTTTTCTTGTTTTATTATCCTTTTAAGGTTTTTCAAAGCTCCTTACATGGAACCTTATAAGATTCCTTGGGATGTGGTGATTTTCTTGTTATGTGTGTGTGTGTGTGTGTGTGTGTGTTATGATTTCACACAGTTTTTTTTTTTGTTTTTATTTTAGTTTTGAATTCCTGGAGACAGGTACATTACTATTGAATGAGATTATTATCCTTGTTTGGGAACTAAAAGTTAAAACCTTAAGAAATAATACAGCTGCTTTTACTTGCTCACACTATTGCCTATCCTTTGAAGTTATAAATTGACTATTTTATCGTTTACTCTTTAGATGGATCCTGTGCAAAAAGCAGTCATTAACCACACATTTGGAGTGTCCATTCCCCCAAAGAAGAAACAAGTTATTTCTTGTAATGTCTGTCAGCTTCGCTTTAACTCGGATGTGAGTACTATCTTTTCATTGCTCTCTGTAGTCTGTCAAGTTGAAAGTCTGTTCTGAATCTGCACATCTCTTCATATTTACATATTTGCCGGCAGCCACTCCTATAGGTGGCCCACTTATTTCAGTGAGCCAGATTTTCAAAGGATTTGGATTCAACACTAGAAACTCAAGCAATAGAGTAGCTAATATCAAAAATCAAGGATTTCTCCTTGGAATCAGTCTTACCTATACCGTTTTACACGTAATTCTACCACTTATATTTAGTTTTCAAAAATACTTGAATAGCAGAAAATATTTTTTAAAAGTTTAAAATGCAATGAAAACAAGAAAATAAAATGCAATGAATGCTGAAGAAAAACATTGCTATTACTCTTGATAACAAGTGTCATATTTCATGTTGTACTAAATCATATTAAATGTGTGCCAAATCATATCAAATACCTGAGAGAATAATGTACTATACAATTTATGTTTTCCCAGAACATGGAAATACAGGGAAAGCTTTATAAATTATTTTATCCGGCCAGCATAACTGTCCTGCTAAAAAAAGATAACAAGAAAAAGGTACAAATCAATCTTATGTGAAAGTAGATTTTAAAAATGTAGAAATAAAATAGCATGAAATCAAAATAAATAATATTGGAATGTTTACAACACCCAATTACCAAGTAAAGCCAATGACCAATACAAATCTGAATATGGAGGCTGTATATTATATGCGGTATTTCCTGACTTACTCCACCCCAGAAGCCATTTTGTGAAGAAGATGTTATAGGATTCGTGTATTTTTGAAATACTAAAATAACTCTATATTTAAGAATTAAAATGTATCTAAAGAAATCGAGAAATATAGGGTATCAATTCATTCAAAGTCTCAATATTGTTAAGATGTCAGTTCTCCAAACTGAGCTATAGACCCAGCACAATCTCAATCAAAATTCCGGAAGCCTTTTTTATAGAAAATGCTAAGCTATTTCTTAAGTGTACATGGAAAAGAAAAGCCCTAGAATAGCCAAAACATTTTTTTTAAGAAAAAACAAATTTCGTGGACTTATACTTCTTGATTTCAATACTTACTATAAAACCTACAGCAATCAAGATTGTAATATTGGTGAAAGAATAGTAGACACACTGATCAGTGGAACAGAATAGAGAGTCTAGAAATAGACCCACTACCTGTATGGTCAGTTGATCTTCAGCTAAGTCGCAGAGACAATTCGAAGGAGAAAGGCTAATCTTTTCAACAAATAGTGAAATTGGATATCCATAGGTAAACAACAGAAAGGAATCTTGACTGCTGCCTCATGCAAAATACAAAACCAATTCAAACAAATTAAGTATATAACTATAAACTTAAAACTATAAATCTTCTAGAAGAAAACATAGGAGAAAATTTACGTGACCTTGAGTTAGGCAAAGGTTTCATGGGAAACAAGAAGTATGAATTATAAAAATATTGATATATTGGACTTCATCAAAATTAAAAACTTGTACTCTTCAAATGACCCTGTTACACTGTTAAGAAAATAAAAGGAAAAGCTACACACTGAGAAAAAATATTTGTAAAACACAAGACTTGTATAAAATATATAAATAACTTACAACTCAATAATAAATAATAAATGGGCAAAATATTTGAACAAGTACTTTACTAAAGAGGAAATATGAATGATAAACAAGCATGTAAAAAGATGCTCAACATCATTATACATTAAGGATTTGCAAACCACAATCATATACCATGACACCTATCAGAATGGTGAAAATTAAACAAATTGATAGTACCAAGTGGCAAGGAGAAGGAGCATCTGGGACTCTCATACAGTAAGTACATTATTAACAGGAATACAAAATGGTACAGGAAAAGAATTTGGTAGTTATTAATAATAAATTTTATAAAGTTACAGATACACTTCCCATACAACTCAGTAATCCCACTTCTAGGTATTTACCCAAGAGAAATAAAAACATATGTTCATACATATGTGCCATTTATAGTAGCTTTATTCGTAATCACCCAAAACTGGAATTGACCCAAATGTCCATCAACTGATAATGAGTAAACAAAATGTGGTATAGCCAGAAAATAGACTACAGCTCAGCAATAAAAAGAAATACATGCTACAATGTGGGTGACTCTCAAAGGCAGTATACTAATGAAAGAAGTTGGACACAAAAACTATATGGTGTATGATTGCACTTATATAACTTTCTGCCAAAGACAAAGCTACAGGGACAGAAATCAGATCAGTAGTTAACACGGACTGAGGGTGAGGTTAGACAATTGGCTCCAAAAGGGCATGAGGGAACTTTTTCAGGATGGAAATACTCTAAATCTTCATTGTCGTAGTGCTCACACTACTGTTTTTGTTTTTCAAAACTCATAGAACTCAATAACTGAAAAAGGAATTTTACTGTATGTAAAGTAAATCTGACTAGAAAAAATCAATATGATATGAGTCATGAAATATTTTATAAATAGAAGACTAATTAATGGTAGAGACGTAACTACAGTCATGTTAAACTACAATATTATTACTAGATTTAAGGCTTAATAATTAAAGGAATTTTGCAAGAAAAGACAGAATAATAAAGACCAAAATAGATCCAAGTATATTTAACAGTTTTACACAGTTATTATCCAAATTTCTACAGTCACATAGGGAAATTAAAGTTTCTGTAACTTTTTAAATATAAAATGAAAGTGTTTACTACTTAACTGACCAATTACAAAATGAATGCCCACCTGAAGACATGTGATCCCCTTAGTTCTAGCATTCCCAGCGCAGCAATGCTAGGTGTTGCAAACATAATAGAATGTAAATAGATTGCAAAGAGAAATTGCAAAAATCTTGCAAAAGATGCGGAATTTCATGAAGTCCATGAATGGAACGGTAGAGAACTGCTTGATACCACGCCACTGACCAATGAGGATCTGCCTGTTAGAAGAGTTAATTTAAGAAGAGAAAGAGTAACAAGATTGATGACAGATAGTCTCTTCAAAACAAAAGGTTTTGACTGTAAGTGAATAATAGAGGCTCTGGGGTCAATTACAAATCTCTTAAGTTAAAAAAAAAAAAAAAAACTAGTGTATATGTACGTGGTTCAAAATGCAAATTAATTTTAGAAGATACTTTGAAAAATCTTATTCCATCGTATTCCCCATCCTCCCACCCTCCATGCCATCCCCTGTCTATCTGTAACCACTATAATATTTCTTGCATATCTTTTCTGGGTTTGTTGATGTATATATAACCAAGTATAATAAATATTCTTATTCTCTCCCTTTTCTACATAAAAGGTAGAGTACTATTCACATTTTCCTTTGCCTTGCATTTTTTGCATTACAATACATCCTGGATGATTTTCCCTATTAGAACACAGAGAGCTCCCTCACTATTTTTTGTAGATGTGCTAGGCAAAGATGTCCACATCCTACTCTCTAGAACCTTTTACTACATTATCTTATGTGGCAAAGGAGAATTAAGTTGGTAGATGGAATAGGGTGCTAATCAGCCAACCTTAAAATAAATTATCTTGGATTATCCTGCGGGCCCAAAGTTCCTTAAAAGTAGAAGAAGGAGGCAAAAGAGAAGGTTCGAGTGACATGATGTGAAAACAACTCAACTGGCCATTGTTGGCTTTGAAGGTGAAAGAAGGTGCCACAAGCCAAGGAATGTGGGCAGCCTCTAGATGCTGGAAAGTCAAGGAAATTGATTTTCCCCTAGGGCCTCCAAAAGAGGTCACACCTGGGCGGACACTTTGCTTTTAACCCAATGACACCCATGTCAAACTTCTGACCTCCAGAACAGTAAGATAAATGTGTCTCGTTTTAAGCCACTAAATTTGTGGTAATTTGAAGACTCACACAGTCAGTCCTCCATATCTTTGTATGTGAAACCCATGGATAGAGAAGGCAACTAAAGGACTTGAGCATCCCTGAATTTTGGTATCCGAGAGGATTCCTGGAACCAATCCCTTACAGATACCGAGAGGTGACTGTACAATAGTCTATGTGTGGATGTTCCACAGTTTAACTAGTCCCTCTTTGGTGGACACTTAGGTTGTTTCTGATCTTTTAGAATTACATAGATTTTCACAGTCAACAGAGCTAGGACATAAATTCTGGTCTCTTGCCTCTAAATCCACAGCTCTTCCTATTATATTATGTTGCCTCATATAATAACTTTACTTACTTTCCTAGCATTTATTGCACTCCTATTTTATGCCAAGAACTGTGCTAGGCTCCAGTCCAGCAGCGACTTTTTCTAGCAGACAGTGTACCTGAAAGCATCTAAAGATTAACCTTATTAGATCCTCTTAGAACATGTTCCAGATCTTCTGCTCTGTATTTTTATTATCCCATGGGTAGAGAGCCCTCACAGTATAGAACAGTAGAGTGAGAGTCCTTGAACAAGAATTAAGTCCTAATTCTGAACCTGATAAATCACTTCACCACTGTAGGCCTCAGTTTCTTCTTCTGTGATATAACCTAAAATAGACTGCATGATCTTTGGGAGGACCATCCCAGCTCTATGACTAAAACTCATTTCCATGGCATTTCTGCTAGAAAGATGGGGTATAAACACCTCCATCTTACAGGTGGAACAGCTAAGACTCAGAAAGAATGACTATGAGTTTGTGTTTTATTTGTGTTATGGGTTGGGAGTGAAAAGGTGTGCCAACCTTCTTTCTCCACCCAGAATTGCTCTGGGAGTAGGTTTACCTTTGACTTGAGCTTCATTCAAAGTTAGTAATTTTCTTTGTATTTAGTAATGAGGACACGGACAAATGCACACACATGAGCATGTGACCACCAGCTTCCTGTCACCACTCAAAAGTTCTGTTGATAATGCAGAAAGAAATTAAATTTCTAAGTCATGTTTAGACTCTGGGAAGTCAAGCCACAAAGTCTGGATGGCAAGTTCACAATTGTGACATATACGTGTTCTCAGAGTTTAGTAATGGTGCTATAATCTGCATAAGTGAACTCTGAAACT